ATATAATTATTCAAATTATTTAATATTTGATTAAAATATATCTATGAATATAACCTGATAAGAACCTCCATCTTTATTTTGAGAACACTGGTTTTAGACTGGTCTGGTTGTCCTTATTCAGAGGTGCTACATTTTAGTTTTAATTTAATTGTTTATTTTAAATAAAATATTAATTAATGTTTCTAACTCTTAATTGTTAAAAAATCAGTGTTTGTTTTTATATTTATGAGTTTCCATTCCTAAATAGATAGGTAGGGGAATTGAAAAAGGAAAAACCCGGCGCCCCTGCCCTCTACACGCCCACATTCAACCATAAACAGTCAATGCAAAAAGAAAAAAATTGTATAGGTCTTCTGGACGTTCTTCTCTAATGAAACGTTTCGTCTCTCCTCCAAGAGACTTCTTCAGTCTGAAAGTTTCAGTCAATGCAAAGTACCTCATGAACATTAAGTTTTATTTAAATCAGTCAGCTGATCAATGTAAAAAAAGTGATTGGCCGATTCAGACACGCGCTGTGTTGTGCTTCTGGAGGATGACAGGTGCTGACAGCTGCTCCTGTGAACAGATTGTCTGTAATTGACACAGATTTTCCCTCATTTTGCAGGTTTACAGACATTTAGAGTAATCTAATGATTTATTTCAAAAACTCAGCTTCAAATTAATTTTATCTCAGAGGATGATAAAAACATTCTAACCCTCTCTGCTCTGTTATCTGCAGCAGACCCCCACCACCACCACCCCGCGCGCGCGACAAATGCGGCTTTTGAAAAGTAAACTTTTTATAACATTCACACTGGCGAGATGGGTGCGCCCTGCGGGTGTACCCAAAGCATGACTTTTGCTGTTGTGCTGTTGAAATGTGTCTTGTCAGGGAGGGGTCTGTGGGTCAGGGTCGTGAGGAGGAAGAAAGAAATTAATGAGTTGCGTGAACTTTTAATTAAGATTGAAGTTTTTTTTATTTCAAAGGTCCTCATGGCTCAGCAGCAGCAGAAGCATAAATATTACTGTTAAGAAAGCTGATGATAAAGTTGAATAAAAATCTAAGTCTGATTATGAAGGTAAATAAACTATTTGACAGTGATCATTACACAGTGTGGCTCTAATTCCTCACTTCACCATCTGTGTCGCAGTTTCMCGTCTCCAAAATGAGCGTACACATGGGTCAGAGCTGGTGTGAGGCACCGCACATTTTCACGTCAAGTTTGGATTTTATAAATCACAACCTTGGCGTAAAAAGTGGCGTACGCAAGTTTCTGGGCTCATTTTGTGTGTACGCAAGTTTTATAAATCTAACCCCTGATATTTCTGATTATTTGAGTCACTATCAAAGAGAGACACAGAAGAGTCAGATAAACAAAGACCAGAGAGTTTTCTTTCTTTGAGTTCCCTTTTGATGTCACTTCCTGTTTCACTTTGGCTGAGACATCTTCAAAAGAAAATCTACCAGCTATGCAACAAAGTGGATAAAATCATGTGTATGCAAAGTTTCTTAAATATAAAGATGTTTTCTTTGATCTTTTTGCATTTGAAGCACATGCACTTTTTATTTTTAGAAAGGATATTTACACAAAAGGGGCGGGACTTAAAACATGTACTGGGACAGGCTTATTGTAGAGGCATACTGGTTCTGCTTCAATTTCCAGGACCCTGTAAACTAAAGAGTTCAGTATAAACGAATGGTTCAAACAGCTGAGGCACTCTGCTGCCCCCTACTGGTGGACAAATCATCTACACTCGTCTTCCAAAAACACCACAAAAATAGGTGTTTTTATACTTTTCCTTCTCTAAATAATGTCTCATGTGGTTTATATTTATGTTTTCCTTCTGTCAGACATCAATTTGGCCGGTGAACCAAAGCCTCGACGATCGAAAACAGTGAAGCGATCAGCAGGAGACATGTACAGGTGTGTGTCCCTGCTGTTCATTTTCACAATAACAAATCTGCAGTGGTGGTCAACAGACATTAAAACTGAGGCTACGTTCACACTGCAGGCAAATGCGCATAAAACAATTTTTTAAACTCCATACGACCCATATCAGATTATTTTCATAACAGTCTGAACATGACAAATCAGATTTTTCCAAATTCCACATCAGTGAGTTGGGGGTGTACGGATTGATTCAATAATAATGACACTAACCTCAAGTCAAGGCAGTTTAATTCTTGTAACTCCACACATCTTCAGCTACAGAAATCCAGTTGCCTCGTATTTTTTATTTTTATTTTCCATGTCTGGATGACTGAGAATCTGCAGAAACATATAGTATGATAGTAACATCTGTCTCAGACCACATTCACTTTCAGCACATCACTTCATTCTAAAAACAAAATGCTGCACTGGAGCTGCCGGCCATGAGCAGGTTAAAATGTAAACACAGAATTAAACAAGCATGTCAGATAATTATTCAGTCACCTCTAATTACACAACAACTTCACAATCAACATGCTAACAAGTAACGTCCATCTTTAACTTGGTAAACAACGAGCTGAATGTGACATCACATCATTTTCTGCACATATGGGTTGCATCAGGGCCGTGGACAGTTTACAATGGAGTTCGATGGAGTTTGCATTTAAAATATAATGTGAACGTTCACACGAAAACATTGAATTTTTGCAAAAATATCAGAACTGAGCATTAAGACCTGCATTGTGAATCTAGATATAAGGTATCAGATAAATGAATAAATAAAGCTGTATTTTGTGTGTGTTTCTGTGCTGTTGTCACAATCACACAGTTCATCTTTTGAGTTGGACTATGACTTCCAAAGAGATTACTATGACAGGTGAGCGATCTTTTCTTTTCATATACCAATATTTTCTAAGTTTTGCATGTATTTTCTTGTATTTCTGCCACCCAATCAACACCGTATTGTTCAGACTTAGTGCCAGCACCCTCTTAATACCACTATATAAATATGGAAATTACCATATTCTTAATGAGAATTTTAAAAAAGGAGAAACTGGGTCATTGTTAAATCAGATTGGACTTGAGTTTCATTTATTCTTATGATTCCTTCATCACTTTTTAGACTGTACCCTTACCAGACCCGGGTTCCTCCCACTACCCCGCCTCTGTCTCGTGCCGTCATTCCCTCGAAGCGTACCAGGGTCAGTCTGAGCAGCAGGGGAAGCCGGCGAAGCAAGACCACCTTCTCCTCCTCGTCAAAGAGCAACCAGAAATCTTCACGAACAAGTAGGTCCCTTCTGCGTTTAATCCCGCAGAGGTGTCCTCATATGGACCGAGGTTGGGATGAATGGATTTTTGGTTAAGACTTGGTCTTCAGTGTTCAAGCCAACAAGTCCTGAATGATATAAGTAGGAACAGAAAGTTTAGTCTGAAACTCACAGGTTTAAGAGATCCGTGAAATTAGCCTTTCTTGATGCAATGCGTGTCTCTGCTGTAATCCTGTAATTATTGGTCCCACAGTGGGGACGGATGATTTACAGACCATCAAGAGAGAGCTGACGCAGATCAAACACAAGGTGGACTTCCTGCTGGAGAGCTTGGAGCGCATGGAGAAGGACCACAGCAAGAAGTCAGGTAGGTGTGAGTCAGGTTAAAAGCATGAGTATCCTGGTGAAACTGCATTTTCTCCAAAGTTGCAGTGTGAACGCAGAGCACTGAATCACTTTGCTGAAACTTTCTGAAGAAGCTTAAACTGCACCAAGCAGATGAAAAGCTGAAATGAGCTGAGCACGAGGTAAAACAGTAGCAGAACTGTACCTTGAAGCCAAAAGCTGCAGAGTAGTAACTAAGAGTATTATGCTGATTAACTGATTTTAGTTGTTTTAAAGCTAGCAGGAAACCACTTTGCTCTTAGCCTCACTAACTGTTAATTTGGTCAGAATAAAACTTGATTCTTTTCAAACCAAGGTTATTTAAATTAAAGCTATTTACAACAGATAATGTGTTAATTATTCATAAACTTTCCACAGAACTCCACCTCAGAGGATCTGAACCATCACTTTAACAGTACATGTCATGGCTTCAAGTAGTATTTCACTTGGCTGACACTGATGCTGACTAGAGGGTGAACAGCATTTGTGAGAGTGTCTCTGACATCCTGATTCTTATTATTCTTTTGTGAGCGACAGAGGATTTTCACATGAATTTTGAACAAATTTTTTTTTCAAAATAGTCAGTCATTACAGGTGTCTCAGATCTGTCTCCATTAGTTTCTGTAATGTCCAGAGCTATATTTTTGACAAAAGATGAGAGCTCTCCTATAATGAATAGCAATCCAAATATCCTGGTCTAAAATACACTCCAATGATAAATTAAAAACTGGTTCAACTCATGGCTATTATTAAGTACTATCCAGTCACTTCATGATCAAAGCAGGAGCTGTGTCCACATTCTTGTCCACTGAGTGTGAAGCAGCTGGAACGGGAGTCTGAAGCCATGGTTCTTGACGAGAAAAGGGTGGAATGTCCCCAGGTCAGGGACGAGTCCCTGCCTCGGGCAGCAGAATACAAGTGTCTGAGTATTTTTATGAGTGATGGTAAGATGGGGCGAGAGATAGATCAACGGATTGGAGCCTTATCCTCAGTAATGAGAACGCTGCTTTGGTTGGCTGTGGTGAAGAAAGCTGAGTTGAAAGGCAAAGCTATCGATTTACTGGTCTGTCTACATTCCAAACCTCACCTGTGGCCATGAGGCGTGGATCAACACCAAAGGAAAGAGATCCTGGACACAAGCAGATGAAATGAGCTTCCTTTGTAAGGTGGCCGGACTCAGCCCTAGAGAGCTTGAGTAGAGCTGCTGCTCGTCCACATTGAAAGGAATCAGTTGAGGTGGTTCATCTGATTAGGATGCCTCCTGGACGCCTCCCTTTAGAGGTGTTCTGGACACATCTCACTGGTAGAAGTCCCTGGGGAAGACCCAGGACTCACTGGAGGGATTATGTCTTCTCTCTGGCCTGGGAATACCTCCGGGTCCACCAGGATGCGGGAAGAGGAATGTCTGGGTTTCTCTTCTAGATCTGTTGCCTCTGTGACCCAACAATGGATAAGCAGCAGAAGGTGGAGATGGTGCAAATTGGCCTGTCTTCATTCCTAAAGTGCATTCAAGCAAAAGTCACAAATGCGAGGAAGCTTGCTGGTTGCAAACACTCAGAATTCACTGAAATTCTGCCTATTTTCTCATAATTTTAGTTCCCAACTGGTCACCAAAAGTCATGGCCAATTGAGAGTGTAGGCCATGGCTTTATAACCACTGGTACACAGTTTCACCAAGTTCAAGAAATTCAAAAAAACAAAAATTTTGGCTGTGAATAGAAGGAGCTTCACACACATGCTGCTACTCACTGACCTAAACTGATTTAAGAAAAAAAAAACATTAGAACAAGCTGAAATTCAAAAGTTTAGTATTTGGTCTTCTGTCTCCATCCCCGTGCTTTGATGCAGCCCTGAAAAGTTTCAAACTGGAGCCTGGTGAAGTGTCCCCCGTTCACTCGTCCACCTCCAGCAAGAAAGAGGGCAGTCTTAAGAGAGAGAACCAGGAGCTGAATGACTCAGAGGACGACAGAGACCTGCTGGACGACGAGGACAAGGTCACGAGTCAGTTTGTTGCAGAAATGTTTGTGATTTCCTGTATAGTAGCTGTACATCATACTGGTACTCAATAAGTAGCACTCACCTGGAGTTACCTAGGTCAGGGGTTCTTAACCTTTTTGACCTCGGGGCCCAATTTGTTSAACATAAAGTGACACGAGGCCCAGTCAGACATTACCAATGTCTGGATCAAAATGATAATTATTCAAATCCTGGTTTAATTTTTATTGTATAAACATCAGAACTAAACTATCATAACTAACATAACTAAATAAAATACACTTAAAGTTTAAAAGTAAAATTCCTGTCAGATAATCACAAGACATGATTATGACAAACATTTTTATATTGTAACCTGCCCATAACAATTATTTGAACAAATACAACGATCAGTCAACAGACCACTCAGGCTTATCAGCATAAAAACATATATTTTTAATATAAAAAAATAACAAAAAATAGACAATTCAAAAAAAATTGTGGGCATAAAATAAATAAATTAAAAATGTTTAATGTTTCAATAAAAAATATGTAAAAATAAATTTGATAAAGTACAAATGAAAATATAGCCTTTTTAATCTTTTGCAACCAGAAGCTGCTTTTCATGTTAGTGACAAACAATAACAGTAACAACAGCTTTTTGACAAGTTAAAATTTTCTTTAAAATATATTCAAAATGTTTAAAAATAAATTACAAAAATTAATTTAAAGTGCAAATTAAAATATAGTTGTATCTGCAACTGTATTGTATGGTAAAACCAGAAGCTGCACTTCATATTAGTGACAAACTTTGGCCTTTTTTGATGGGTTACCTTCACTTTTGCTTCTACTTTTCATTTAAAACAGTGAAGAAATTTATTGGTCTTTTACTTACTGATGTTTCCATTCTCTCGACAGGTTTCTAAGGTTCTTCTTCTTTTTATTAAAAAAGTTGTTAAACATCTGAGTAGTGAGAAAGTGTATTGCCCTTTATTAAAAATCAGTGTGGTCCCACAGCCCTCTGCAGCCCAAAGTTAAAAACTGTTGTTCTTTTGAGGCCCTCAAGGTTGTGCTGGCCCATAGGTTAAGAATCACTGACCTAGGTTATATCTGGTACATACCTTGCATTTATCCAGTATATGCTTTGTACTTACCCAGTACCTTCTTTGTACTTACCTGATACTTACTAACATGTTACATACTCCTTTATTGTATGTACACACCTCATACTTACCCAGTACTTACTTAGTTTGTACCTGCCTGATACATACATACCCTGTTCAGAGCTGGTAACACTGATCAGGCTGTTTTCAAATTCAAATATACTTTATTGATCCCAGAGGGGAAATTAAGTTTTATGAACTGACGGTACCTTGCACTTACCTGGTACTTACCAGTACTTACCAAGTACATGGCAGCTGTAGCTGAGTGATTAGGGGAGTCGTCCCCCAAGAGAGTTGGCGGTTGGTGGTTGATTTGATTCCCCTGCTAATCTTTTACATGTTAAAAGTGTCCTTGAGCTTACTAACCTGCATTTCCCTGGTATGTATTTACTTGGTACATACTCTGTACTTACCTGGTACTTACACCGTAGTAACCTGGTACATACCTTGCACTTACCTCATACTTACTCTGTACATACCTGGTAATAGTGATCAGGCTGTGTTATGATGTGACATGTTACTTAGCACTTACTTGGTACTTCTCTCAGTCATACCCTGTACTTAGGTCATACCTACTCAGTACTTGACAGTGATTGGTCTGCAATATAATGTGACATATTACTTTGCACTTTTATGATTTATAATACTGGGTAAAGAACGGGTACTTACAATGTACCAGGTACTGCTACCAAGATTAACAGAATCAGTTGAGCTGAAATGGATTTTTTTCATGGGGTTTTCTTAATTTACACTCATCCTGCATCACATCAGAATGAATATAATTATAATCTGATGATGGACTCATTTGCTCCTGGTTCCCCTTCCCCTCAGGTAAAGAGCAGAGGGAGAGATGAGGATGAGGTGGACGAACACGAAGAAGGGGAGGATGACGGCGACAGCGCCAACGAAGATGACTCCTGAACACGACACAAATCTAGCATTGTGAACGTTTCTGTCCAGTGGTCATGTGCTTGTTTCCGCTGCGGCGAATGAAAATCTCTGGCGTGTTGATCACAGAAATGAAGTTGTCGTTTCTGCATTTTCAGGTTTAATTTCAAATTTAGGGAAGCTCTATGCGTTTCTTAGTTTTTCCTTTTATTACTCTTTAAATCACAGTTTGCTGTGTGTCAATGTATATTTGTAAATACTGTTAAGCAAGAACCTTCTGTCTCTGTTTTTCATCTCTGTTGAGTTTCTGTAAATCAGCTGTATTGGAAATCTTTTACGTTTTGTGGACAACTCACTAATGAACAGTGAAAAAAAAAGAGCTTGTGATCACACTAAGCTCACATTGTTAAGAAACAACTTTTCCTCTTCTGTTTTTTTAAGCATTTTCTAAAAAGTTGGATTTTTGGAGATTCAAGGTTTGTGCTCAACAGCTATAGTTTATTAAGTCAAAATGTAAAATCAGCTGATGATGAACGTCAGTTTTGTTTGAAGTTTCTTCATGTTTTGTTTACTCCAGAAGTCAGAAAAAGGCAAGATGTCAAAAAAAGTTCCAGGTGGAAAACAAACGTTACTGACTGAACAACTATTGCTTGAGTTTGCGTTCATCTGCCTGTTAGCAAAATATCTCATAAACCACTTGACAATTTTTATTGGAAAAAAATAATTTAGTCAATTCAAAACGGCTGCCACAGCCAACTGTCTGGAAAAAGCACAAATATACTTATAACTGAGTTAGTTTTATTAATACTGAACTGAAATTTGGTGTGATTCTAACTTCTCAATCTGTACTCCGATGGCTAAATGATCACACAGGATTTGGATTTTAAATAGTGTCATTAGCAATAGGAGTGGACTCTGGAAAAATTTTAATGAAACTTTTAGAACATAATCAGTTGGCATTTGTCTAAAATTGATTAGCTTTTTAATGAAAATCACCCACCACAGCCAAGTGATCTTAGAAAACACAAAAATGGCTTAAACTCAGTGAATTCTACAGATATAGAACTCAAATTTGGTGTTGTTGCAACACAACACATAGCGTGAGCATTTGGCGCCATGTTGGCATTACCTGTTAGCATCAACCTTGTCTGTTAGCAAAATTTCTCATGAACTACTGGAATGATTTAAAGAAACTCAAAGTAATCATTTGATGTTACTTTACAGCTGATTAAAGTTTAGAGTTAGCCCAATTCAAGATAGCCGTCACAGGAGGTTGATGTCACAAAACATAAATAAATGGCTGTAATTCAGTCAAATTTGCAAGTATTGCACAAGAATTTGATATGGTAGTAGCTGAGAGTCGTATTCTTTTTGCTTGCTTTTTGACCAAAATAGAATTCAGCATAAGATGATTTTGGTTTAAAACTCCAGTGTAAATGTTGGCATTTATTGTGTTTTTGTTTTTCTTCATTTTACTGAATATATACAAACATGGCTGTCACTGAAAACAAGTGTTTGAAAGTGAAGTTAGTCATGAGACCTAAAAGTGGCTGCAGCCGTGACTTGAAATATTTCAAAATAAAAATATTTCTGCAGTGCCGCGTCTCAACCAGCAGGTATCAGTATGTGACAAACCACGTGGACTTGTTTGTGTTCTGCTTTTCAATCTTCCAACATGAGCATGAACAGATTTTCCAGACATAAACTCCCTCTGACTCCGGACCCCTCAGTTGCTTTGAGTCGTTCTTCCACCTGTCCAACGCTGACCCTTGTTTGTGTTGCTTTTGTGTTCCTCAGTCGACGGCACCGTTTTGTTTCTATGTTGAAGGCTCTCTGAAATTTTCATTCAACACAGTTGTCTGTATTTGTTTTCAGAAGGGCACTTTGATCTAGCTAAACAAGCTTTAAAAAAAAAACAGGGTCATGAAACCGAAGAAGTCAGGGTTAAATATTTGTGGCGTGAACGTGGCGGAACAGACAGGTTCCGGCTGCAGTGAAGCAGGAAGGGGTTTTATTACCTCCTCAGACCTTTTGACAAACGCTTTATTAAATCCACTCATGCAGATCTCAGGTCGACGGATCTTCCAGGGTTCAACTGTGGAGGACGAAACACAACACGCTGCGTCTTTACACTGATGAAACATTCTCTGGTTTATGGTATTTCTGACACATAACCATGCATTACATTTAGAAACCCAACTGCTGTAATATTTCAGACTTGTAAACTAGACATATTTTTGCACAAGCTTGAGCTTTGTGTGTATTTGTACACAGTTCTGTAGTTCGTATGATTTTATTTCCATATCAGGGTTGAGTGAGAGTTTAGTCTCCAAATTGTGTTGAGCTTTCTCACAAAGGTGACTAAAGTAAGGGTCAGAAGTTTGCATCCATTTTTAATGATTTATTAGAATTTTTTCCAGGGTATAATCATTTTACATACAACACGATTGTAAAACAAAAATAATTAAACATGTGTAAACTTATTATGGGTTTTCTCTAATCCACACAGGATCAAAAATGATACTGCTGAAGGATACATGCCTTCTAATGCCTTTTAACAGTCTATTGATTGTCTGCAGTTGGTCATTTATTTTTTGCTAAGGATTTGTTTTACAACGTTCTTAGACTGAGCAATACTCATCTGTCACCCTCATAAAAGGAAACTGGTTAAGATGCTCAAGAACCACCAAGGCTCAAGCCTGACATGAACTGGAAACAGCTGGAACACCAGTGTCGTCAGTGTTTTACAGCAGGGGTTCTTAACCTTTTTGACCTCGGGGCCCAATTTGTTGAACATAAAGTGACAAGAGGCCCAGTCAGACATTACCAGTGTATGGATCAAAATGATAATTATTCAAATCCTGGTTTAATTTTTATTGTACTTACATCAGAACTAAACTATCATCCATCCATCCATCCATTTTCTTCCGCCTATCCGGGGTCGGGTCGCGGGGGCAGCAGCTTCAGAAGGGAGGCTGAGACCTCCCTCTCCCCAGCCACTTCTTCCAGCTCCTCCGGGGGAACT